CCACTATTGTGAGGGGCCGGTGAGGTGGTTGTCAACCCCCGGTAATTGTAGCATATCTACAAATTTAAATAAGAAATACTTGAGCTCCTTCACTTACTTCATTGTTAGAATTAGGGCAAACAGAGGTGCCTCCGATAGTAAAGGTGAAAAACTTTTCCGACGAGAGAAAGGGAAAAATACAAATAGGAAAAGAAAATTTTAAAGGAGAAATAAAGCAACTATCTCATTTCTACAGCACAGGTTAAGGTAAATTTCAAATTAAAAAAAAAACAATTTAAGAATGGTTCTCGTTTCAAACTATCTAACTGGTGGACTCATGAAAACCGTGTCCGGGTCACCAAATCAAGGGTTTAATTGTCGGTTTAGCGGGTTTGGCATTGATTTTTAAAGGAGGGTTTTAATGCGGAATCAGATCGGATTCTCAGTTGATTTCCAATTTTTTGATTGAACCAGTCGATTAAGTTTGATTTTCACAACAATAGTTTTGAAACAGTGATTTTTTTTGGAGAATATATAGATAAAAAATAAGATTATTTTAAATAAATTTTATTTATTTTATGGAATAATATGTTATTGAAAATAAATTTTGTAAAAATGTATTTTTGTAAAAATTGAACTCAAACCGGGCTAAATTTGTCTTTTGGCTTACAGTTCAATAACACCGCCAAGTGAAATGTCTCCCGGGGATTTTTTTCCGTACGTTACAACTTTATTTTAGGGAAAAATTGCAGCGAGCGCCCTAGACTTTATGAAAAGTACAAATGGGTTCCTACACTTCATATCTTTGTAGCCCCTTCCCAACCTTTCACTTTTACAGCTGCATAAGTCCTTATGGACGTTTTATAAGCGCGTGAATTGAAAATGTGCACTTTTTCGAAGGGTTAAATTTTAAATTCACATTTTGTAGTTTAAATGAAATATAAATAAAATGCAAATTAAAATAAGACAGACAATGAGTATAAGACGATAATTGTACAGTTATCGTAGAAATATTCATCTCCAAATGAATAAAATCAAGCACCAACTGTATATTTTGTAATTTTTCGTAAGAAACAAACTAATTGTACCACATGCTTGACAATTGATCTTTGCCCAATTTGCATGAGGTAATTACTCTAATTTTTGCTTCAAAGTAATTTCTATATCCTAGTAATAAGAGACGTCTAACATTTCGCATTTCCACACACCAAAATTATTTGTATTATCGCATTTCTTCATTTCAGACCATGCATTGACCATTGTACAACTTGTGTAGAAGAAAAACTTCCTTTATTTTTGGACTTTGAGTGAATAGATTATTTGATTTACCTTTAATAAATCTTGTTGGAATCAAATGCTTCTCAGATAGAGCATTCAACAAGCTTCAACAATTTCAATTGAACCACGCTTGTATTCCGTTTTTCGATTTATATCTTTTTACTTGACGATTATTTTTACGTATCACTCAACAATTACATCTTATATCCATTGTTTATTTGCAATCTATTTATAGTAACACAAATTTTCCTCTTTAAAATTTGAAAATTTACAATTCTCGTGCTTTATTAATGTCGATTTGGACGAAACCGTCCATGAAGGACTATGCTGCACAAAAGTAAACGTTGGGGATTTTACTGTCAATATTTGAAGGTTGGAGGCATATTTCCACTTTTCACAAAAGTGAAGTACCCCCAATGCAATATTTCCTTAAAAGTAGTTGTAACGCATGAAAAGAAAGTCCTCGACTGAGAGGACACATGTCGCTCAGCTGTGTTTTTTAAACTGTAACCTAAAAAGGACAAAATTATATTATGACATAATTATTTTTAATATTTTTTATCCTCAAAAGATTAACTCTCCTTCCTAACCGTCAGATTAGCTTCTCAAATTGACGGCCTTAACTCGCCACCCCAATTCCCTATCCTATTCTAATATTCTTCTAATAAAGCCACTGCAAGAACATTTCACCACCACCACCACCACCACCCCTCTCTTTCTCTGCTAGTTTTTCTGTGTGTGTTATGCATGGATTCTAATTCAGGTTGTGGAGAAGATTTGGTTTCACATCGGCAAATTTTGGAGGAATTAACTCTGTTCAAAACACAGCCGAAGTGCGAGGATTTTCCGGTGGGATTTTCTTCGTTTTCTACAGTTTCACGCCGGAGTCTCGACGCTTCTTCATCAAATCCTTTTTCGGGTTTTTCTGCTGATCCATTTCAAGCTTCTTGTACTGGTAAGAAGTTTCAACAAAATCAGTTTGCCAAAGACGGTGCAGAAGCCCATGTACATGGCCTTCAAACTAGAAATTTTTTGGGTTCATTGAAAAGAACGGAGCAGTGCCGAATCAATGAGCCATTGGAGCTTAATTTGTGCTTGGTTTTGGACAATGAGCTGGAAAGGAGAACCCATTCGGAGAATAAAATTGAGAAGACGATACAGAGGAAATCGGAAACAAGAGTCGACAAAAAGCCCAGTATAATCAAAGGGCCATGGACTCCTGAAGAAGACAGGTACTTTTTTCCTATCATTTTTATGCAACGATTTCTTTGATTTATATACGTATTAATTTCCAATTTTTCGTAATAAAATTTTACAAGTGATGACTTTCACAAAATAAAATCTTGTTGTCCTTCATTAGTACTTGAGTTTATATTAAAAGATAAACCTTATTAAACCATTATATGTCCATTTATATTTCAGTATTTAATCGATGTGAGATTTATGCTTTAGCCTGGTTTGTTTCCACTACTCTCAGCAACAAAATGAGAAATTTGACCATTTTTTCAAAGAACCATACTAGTGGTACATAATTTGTCTTACCTAGGGTATCCACCATCTCACATGGAGTGGACCCCGCATGATTAAAAAAAGAATTTTATTCATGTGGGATCCACCCAATGTGAGAGGTTGGACACTTTAGGTAAGACAAATTATGTACAAGTAGAATTTTCCTTTTTGAAAATAGTGGGGCCCACTCACTCACAAAATGGTATTGCGGTTATGCACTATTCCAATGGTAAAAATTCTTATTTTTTAGGTGAAAGCAGTGGAAACAAAATCCTCGATCTGGACAATTTTTAACCTACGTGAAATGCATCCTTTAACAATCTTTAGCTGACGTCATCTTTTTTTCGAAATGTATAATTTATATTAATCTCATTTTTGCAAAACCAAAAATCAAGTTTACACATAATATTATCTTATGTAAACCTTTTCTTTTCATTTTTTTTAATTGTAGATTATTGATGGAGTTGGTTGAGAAGCACGGTGTAAGAAAATGGTGTGTGATTGCATGGAAATTTTTGGGGAGAACAGGAAAGCAATGTAGAGAAAGGTGGCACAACCATATAAAACCCGACATCAAGGTTTTTCCTTAATCTATCTTCGTATTGTCTTTTTTGGGCTTTATTGATTTTTATTTACGGTAACAAATATTTCATTTTATTCATTGCACACGTGTATTTCAAGAAGTGATACCTTTAACTGATGAAAATCTAGTCAACAGTGGCTGCTCATGGTGTTTTTTGTTTTTAAATTATTATTATATAATAAATTTTCCTCATAATTTTTTTTAATAGATATGCAAAATCTAAACCTTATTTTCGCATTATCTTTTTCCATTTACTTTTTATTTTGGCAATAAATTTGTACTACATAATTTACATCCCACATTCACCCGTTTCTTCTCTTAATTACAATGATACGACCATTAAAAACTCAATATATTTTTTTCCCTATACCTAACTTCACATTATCATTTTCCCTTTATTTTTTATTCTACGTTTTTATTTTCAGCGAACGATATCTTATTTTCGTGCAACCCTTTAAAACCCAATATCAATGATTTATATTTCCTTTTATAATTGTATGACAAAAACATTTCTTTGATAATCCAATAGTGTACATTTTCCTTATTAATTTCGTACAATGTGTGCGCATCATGCACGTGGTTTGCACTTTGCACGATGAATTGTGGTTTATCGTGGCAAATAAACTCATGAGCTAACCACAAATTTAAGCGAGAGAATATTATTTTCAAGATATTATGATATCGTTTGCACATGAATGCATGAAGTTATAGATAAGTAACCATTGGTACTATCGAATATGACATTTGCAGAAAGATAAATGGTCTCAAGAAGAAGACGAGAGACTAATTGAAGCTCATATAGAAGTTGGGAATAGGTGGGCTGAAATTGCACGAAGATTGCCGAGAAGGAGTGAAAACACCATAAAGAACCACTGGCATGCGACGAAAAGAAGACTTCTGTCGCATAAAGGCAACAACCTGAAGTTCAATACTCCCTTGCAAAACTATATCAAGAGTGTGATATCATCTTCTGATTACATAGTATCTCTAGGAAACTCGTAAGCTGCATCCATTTCATCCATTGGTACATTGGTCAATACGTGCAAAAGGGGAAAATTGGGATGAAATCTTCAAATAAAAGTGAAATTTCAACTTTTTTGCTGCAATGTTTGCTTTTTTGACGCATGCACATGATGGCATATCTTATGCACTTTTTAATTTTATCTAGTTAATTACAAAAAAGTATTGCATGATATTTTGTTAAGTCATCATTTATTAGCACTTTTTTTTTCGTCGCCTTTTGTAAAATAAGAAGATCAAACAAGATAAAAATGGTTATCGCGCGCAACTAGTTCAAGAAATTCAATGAATTTTAATTTCGAACAAGGATCGAAACTTCCATAAAACTATTTGATTATCTGAAAAAATAAAATTTTCATGCAATCTACTTCTTTGCGGGTTTAATATCGATAATATAAATAAGACACAAATGAATTTATAAATCCTAAGATTCTTTAGCTTAAAATTTGTGTACAATGAAAATTTATATATTGAGATTTTAAGAAGAATGTGAATTAGCGTATATAAATCAATAAGTACAAATGTGTAATGTTATGCACAGGGGCGGACCTGGGGGGCAGGTGCCCCCCGCCCCCCCAAAAAAATTTTTTTTTTTCAATTTTTTTTTATTAAATATGAAAGGAAAATGAATCAA